TGTGTGTGTGTGTGTGTGTGTGTGTGTGTGTGTGTGTGTGTGTGTGTCTTCTCTAGCATGGAGTTGTAGTAAGTATTCAAAGATATCTTTGATTAGTTTAACTGAATTAAGATAAAAGAATGTTTTCCCTTGAAACATTCAGATTATCTAGATTATTGAAAGATTTTTTTTTTAAATGCAAAATGTTTCTAATAGCCATATTATGAGGCCAGCGTTCAGACTGCCACCCTTGACCCAGCCTTGGTGAACATTCATCTTATAGAACAAAGATAGCATTTCCAGATCAAAGAACCCTGTTCATTTTTTAAATAAAAAAAAATTTCACTTTGTCATGTCACACTTAAAAATAAAATTGCCCTTTGGACACAGCTCATTTGGAGGCCAGCGTTTGGTAACATTCTTTTTGTTTGAAATCCAAACAAAAGGAACCTAAGCCTGGTTAGTTTCTTATCTCCCTCCAGCAGTATCAGGGATTCTAAAGCACTTCTGAGGAAGAACTTGGCCAACTGCCGTCGCAAAACCTGCTGAGAGTCAGCTTCCTAAAAGGATGGGTGATTCTCAGTCTCCAAGCACTGCTGGAGCCTTAGTGCTGCCAAAATAATCCAGGAAGTGAGGACAAGGAGCCTAGATTTTATCCCCAGTGGTTTTAAAAGTTCAAGAGTTGGTGCTTTTCCCATTTCTAAGGAGCAGCCTTTGCTCCAGGGAAATTGCATGTTTTCTGAACTGGGGATTACATGGGTCCATTTCAGGAGAAGAGACCTCCCTCTACACTCCCAATAGCTTCATAAATCGCTTATTCTCATAGTCTTTCTGCCCCACTAGGACACAACATTTTTTTTGTGTTTTTTTTTTAATTTTTTAAAAAAAGCATTTAGTCATCTCAACATAACTATGAACCAAACCAGATCATCTTTTTCTAATAGCTCTGCTTTTCAGAGAAAACAATTTGAATGTTCACACAGAGTGTGCCATTCAACTGACCTCATGACTACAAGCCACTCAGAATTGTTCAAGAAATAGTAATAATAATAGCCACCATTAAGGTAGCACTTACTGTATGTCAGGCACTGGGCTAAGTACTTTATATTCATTATCTCATTTAATCCTTGCAACAACATTATGATGTGTTACTATTATCCCCACATTACAGTAAAAGAAAGCAGAGGTTCAGAAAGATTAAGTGGCTTACCCACGGTCACATGGCTAATTAACCATTGACGCAGAATCCAACCTGGGCCAGTCTGACCCCAAAGCTCTTGGTCTTATCCATTATGTTACACCTTCAGGATAAACAAGTCTTGTTTCCACACCTGGACTGAAAGTTTCTAAAGGGCAGGAGCTGTAAAGCACTTATCACCCCCAACATTGGAGCATCCAGCAATGGGTCAAGAATCCCAGCAACTGTTTTCTTTACTCCATAAATACTAAAAAATGGTATAGCACCAGTTTACTATAAAGTAGACATTTACTCTTTTTACTTGAATGAACCATAGTGATATTTGTTCTCTAAAGGCCTGACTGAAGGGATGACACAAAAGGGCTCATTTAACATTTCAGCTCTTGAAACGGCATAAACACAATGAAACTGCCTTTTCTCTACCAGCATACTGGGTGGAACAGTGTCCTCCCAAAAGTCACACCCACCTGTAACCTCAGAATGTGACCTTGTTCGGAAATAGGGTCTTTGTAGATGG